TGCACTGGGGTGGCATTTAATTTCGTTGTACGAGAAGTACAATGACAATAAAGATTACTGACTTACTTGAAGAAAGCTACCTGTTTTCTTGGCTTATGGCTATTAAATATGGTAGCTATTTAGTCTAGCTCCAAGGTGAAAAAGGGTTCCCTCTTTGGGAGTGGAGTGAAGGATAACGCCAGACTAAACAAAAAGCTAGAATTTAAAGGCTCAGAAAATCGCACGTTATCCTCCAGGATGAACTAAGAAAAAGACAACCACGGGCTTGAAACTTACCACTGTTCTCAGGAACTTCAATTTTGTCTTGAGCCAGAATCAAGGACCCTAGTGAGAAAAGACAAAACGTCAAGACATTTATCTTCAGGATCTGGAGGACTTCACAAGCTGCCCTTTCTGATATTTGAGTATCCAAAGCCCTTTGCTACAGCTCCTGAATTTTCTTCCAACTGAAAATGGGGGGGCAGCTTCCTATGGTTTTGGGGTGGAACATACAGGCAACTTCCAAAAATACAGTCAGTGCAGTTAATCCCAAAACACCCCTCCACAGAAGATCCAAGCCAACTGCAAGTTATATTCCATTCTACTTTGCACCAGAGATCTGCCCGCTGGTGACTTCCCTCTGTAAAGGAACAGCAAATGCGCCCACCCAGTTTTGCCCATCTTCTGCTCCTGATCCAGCGAGGCCACACTTGCCCAGGAGGCACAGAGAGATCAGTAGCAGGAAGAACCTTCAGCAAAAACTATGATTCAGCACTTAAAACCATAAATTAGCAGAATCAGAAACAGGAAGTAAAGAAAATTTGTGCAAACAGCCATTGGTTTCAACCAGAACGGTGCAAATAAAGCACAAAAATAAACATGAGTCAAGAGTAAATGACCTGCAACTCAAAGGACATTCCAAAAGACATCTCAAAAGCCACGCCAGATAGATTCACATATTGCATTAAACTATAAACCATGGTTTACAAACCATGCTGGCCAGGTTTGTGAAACGTAAATCTCAACCATGTAAACCACATTATGACTTCACGTTGTTGCTTGTTTGCCAGCTTAGATTGTCCTGAAATTAAGCGTGACTATCCAAAACACACAATCTAAGAGGGGTTTGGAATGAGCAGGAAATAGGAACAATAGATCATGGTTCGTTTACAAACTTTTTAAATAACAAGGTTAGCTACTTTGATGAATATTTCTCCAAACATCTGTATTTTAACATGCAACTTTCCTTACTATAAACAATCTGTAAAGTGAATTTTGATACTGTTTTCAGATATAGACAGTTTTCTTACTTCCCCCTTATAAACCTCTAAACCAGCGTTTCTCAACCTTGGCAACTTGAAGTCCACGCGGCTTAAAGCTGCCAAGGTCGAGAAACACTGCTGTAAGCTATTACAGAAGTTATTCAAAATTATTTCTCACTCTTCCATTTTGTTATACATACATACATACATGTGTGTGTGTGTGTGTGTGTGTGTATAAATGAACCTTTCTGATGAGCATCAAAAAGTCAGAAGAGCAGTTTGAGACCATCCTCAAGTTGAAGTCCACACATCTTAAAAGTCGCCAAGGTTGAGAAACGCTGGTTTAGAGGTTTATAAGGGGGAAGTAAGAAAACTGTCTATATCTGAAAACAGTATCAAAATTCACTTTACAGATTGTTTATAGTAAGGAAAGTTGCATGTTAAAATACAGATGTTT